GAGTAGCGCCGAGATGACAAGAAGGTCGCGTTGAGGTCGCGCCGACATCACGCCAAGGTCGTGTTGAGATTTTTGTTGAGGACGCAGCAATTTGTGACGAAGGTGAGAGAGATCATGACGACGATGGTGGCAGTAGTGGTTAACTAGATCGATGGTGATAGAGATGACGATGGAAACCTTACAGCTTCGACGATGATAGCGACAAATCTTTGAACTTCGACAACGATGGCGGTGGTCATCGAAAGAGAGAGATCAGAGAGCGTAGTCATGATAGAGAGATTGTCAGCATGTGTGATATCGGCTATCGATGCCGAAGGAGGTTGTCAGAGAAGTTCGAGGAAGTTTGGCCGGCATGTGTGAGTGGGAGTTGAGAGAGAGAGTCCAAAGAGAGAGAGGGCGTGTGTGAGAGAAAGAGAGAAAGGATCTGGCGGCTAAGGATGTGTGTAAGGAAGAACGAGATGAAACCCTAGAAAGGGTACAGTTAGAAAACCAACATTTTGTTTTAAATCAAAATTCAAGATATTCTATAATTTATCAATATTTAAAAAAATATGTTATTTACTTTAAACATAGCTACTAAATATGCTATTCAGTGTATTTTTCCTTCTTTTTCTTTAATTATTTTTTTTGAAAATTTTATTTAAGGTGTAGTTGGTTTAATTAAGGTTTAATTAGAGGCGCTCGACTAATTAAACTACTAGATTTCTTTTGTTAAAAGAAAAAAGAAAATAAATTGAGAATCTTCTTGGAAACAAATGAGAGATGTTTTGTCTGACCATATATTGCTTTCGGTTCCTAATTCAAGCCGAGACATCGACATATGGAGTTATAGACAAATTCGGTTTTTATTAATTTAACAAAATTTGCAAATTAGGTGCTTTAATTGGGGTTGTTTTTTAAAAAAAAAAAAAATAGAAAGAGGATTATTGGTGTATTCTTATCCATTTTTGCTTGTTGGTGTATTTTTATCCTTATTCCTTTCGTTTATAGGAGAAATCAATGAAACGAAAATCATCAGATTCAATTATGTTCAATAGTAGACTCAGTTTCACTCTCAACATATTATGAGTTTCTTGTGTATAGTTTATTGACATGACAAGGAGCTTAAAATAGAAATGAGATTATAGAGTATTAAATGTTGAACTTATTTTGAGAGGACGAAAAAAAAATCCCAACTATTGCATCATTCAAAGGTGTACTTTAATTGAGCGTGTTACTCATCTGTGCTAATTTAACTTTCAAGGAGCTTAATGAACTTTTTAGTTACAAGCTAATTCAGTAAATAGATCATCAAAAGTTGACATTTTAAATGCTGACCATGTTTAGAATGAATTTTCAATTGAGGTCTAAAGTATTCTTATTTTACCTTAATCTCCCCACTTTTGATCATTCCATATCTGTGAACAATAAACTAAGTAAAAAGGCAAAAAAATCCTCACGTTTTAAGCCACCAAGAAAAAGGAGGGAAAAAAAAAAATTGGTTACAACTTTGTCCACTAGTTTTGATTGGTGATGAGAGCTTGCCTTTTGCACCGGCATGAAACATTTCACATAATTTCAGCCATTAGTGAGATTCCCTTTACCACAATACTATTCTTCCGACATAAAAAAAAAAAAAAAAAAAAAAAGATGTTAAAATTAGTATATATTTGACTATATCCTGGATACGATTTGTTTTATATTTTATAATTGAGTTCCTTTAATAGCTTTATACCTTTCAACACCAATCTATGCAGTTCAATTAATTATAGGTGAAGTGGGACATTGCGTGCATTTGTTTAGATGTTAAGAATAATTTACTCAACAACCACAAAAAGGCCAAACAGATAAATCATCAAAATCAAGGGGAGTTTGGAACGAAACCCATTTCTTCAACTAATAAAAATCATATGCAGACGCCAAACTTGAGTACTATTAGTGGAATGACAATGAAAGAGTACAATATATTAACTTGAGAAATTAAAATTTGAGAAAGCAATTAGCTCTAAGTATAGTTGGTGTCATAAGGTATTGTATTTAGGTCATAATTGCCAAGTTCTTTCACATTAATTCGTTTCCACATTAAATTGTGCTTTATTTTGTTGAAATTTCCAAATGTCAATGAATAATAATATTTAGGCTTTGAAGCTAAATTATCTTGTCTCTTGTGCCGTGTGCCATGTGTCCTGTGTCATGTGATACTGTAAACCACTCGGTTCAATTATGACTCTTGATAGTCATTTAAAACTGTTGTATGTGTAGATTAAATCATAGAACTTCATAGTGGTAACTGATCGTTACATGGTAAAATAGTGAAAAATAAGCAAAGGGTATTTAGTTTTAAACCATTGTTAATTTATCTAAAATGTGAAAGTTATCAATGCTTAAAATTATAAAATGTCGTTCCCTTTCAATATATATATATATATGTAAAATGTCATCGCATGTGTTAGTTTTCTAGGTCTGAACCAAAAGAAGGAAAAAATAATGGTTCAAATCTTTTTTCTTATAGTGTTTTTCTTTAACCAAAAACTGAATTTGACCAAAACTTTTAGGTCAAACATTTGCAACAAATACTATCTTAGGGCCAGTTTTGTAAATAGATTCAAAACATAGGGCTTGTTTGAAAGGTATATCCAAACCATAATTTTTAATTCTGGTGTTTGAAATTCAAATTTTTTGTAAGAGGAAAACATAGTAGCATAATCAATTATTTAAGTTTGAGTATATAAAACAAACAAGCACATAGGGTGCGTTTAGAACTTGTTCCAAAATGATTTTGTTTTTTGTATGAAAATGGAAATGAAAACGTTTTCAATCTCAGACAGAAATCATTTTTAAAAATGCGTTGGTAGTTTTATCAAAAGATTATTTTCAGTATAAAAAAAACTCATTAATGTCTCTCTCTGCTCGAGAGAGGAGAAAACGAAAATAAAAAATGAAAAACGACTTTTAGTCGTTTTTCATTTCTCTCATATTTTACACTAAACCAAAAAATTAGTTTCATTTCTGTTTTTTGTCTTTAATTGTGCCAAACGCTATTTTAGAATCGTTTTTTTTTTTTTTCTCAAAAAATGTGAAAAAAAACAAGAACAATTTTAAATATGGCTACAGTGATTTGAACTTTTCTGACTTGAAATTGAATGTGGTTTGAACTTTAGTTCAAAACATTAGACAAAGGTGGATAAAGAACTCTTAAGATTTATTAGTTTAAAATATCAAATCATCAGTTTGAACAAAATCTAAAAATGTTTTGCCTAACAGTTCAAACAAATTTTTTGTTGAAAAAATTGAACTTGTTTAGAAAACGGCACCTTAGTACTAACAACACAGTTCACTTTTTCATATTGAAAACGCAATTTACCTTGAAATATGGTAAGGATAATGGATCTTTGCGCTTGGTGCAATGACGCGGCTAGTGAGGTTCTAACTGAGGCTAGTCTATTGCTGGTTGGAAACTATTTCCAAACCCCTTCTTAGATTCATAGGTGAATCGACATTATCTTAATGTTGAGAGCAGAGATAATTCTTTGTATTACAATCAATCATGTAACGAGTTTTTCTTTGCAATATATGGTAACGAAAATTGGCTAATTGAATATCTTTTGTTCCCAATCCTATATGAAAATTCTTAACTTTGGATTTTTTTTTTTGAAATAAAAACGTCGAGTAATATTAATCACGAATAATGTCATTCTTAACTTTGGATTTTCGGACCACAAAAAAAGAACCAAATATGATAAACTAATATACATCAACATAACATGTCCTCATTGCGTTCCTTGAGTTTGGTTTTACATTAACAAAGCAAAAGTTAATTTAAGCACATCCAAATGCCTTGAATAAAAACTTATAATAATAATAAGCAAAAATCTGAACCGATCAACATCCTTAAATACATCATGATCATGATCATCATAATCTACGAGTCAAGCTGAGCATACCAAATCCCCTGGATCTTGACATCCTTAGGAGTCTTGGCTCCCAAGTCAGTATCAGAAGGCTGAACGCTCTCAAACACACCAATTACCTCACCGGTCTCCGGTTTACTCTTGGTCACACTCAGGGTGATTTTCCCTGTTGAGGAAGCCGTATTCTTAATGTTCTCCTTGGTCAGCTCCTCCTCATCTCCTCTCCCTCCAGCCGGCAATGCCACAGCGTTGTCGTACCCGGTCGACCCACCACGTCCCTTTGGGTCCAAGAAAGATGATCCACGGTACGACGGGACCAAAAACTCCCCGCTGAAGCTCTCGGGTTTGCCTGAGGCAACCAACTGCTTGATGGTGAAGAGAAACGGCACGCGCTCGCCTCCTGGGAGCTGCACTGTGACTGCAGCGTAGTCAATGCCGTCCTTCTCCTCGAACTTGACAGTGCCGTCGTTGGCGACTTCAAATGGGCCCTCGATCTCGTCGAGGGTGTAGGTCAGTCGTGTCATGAGCTTGGTGTTCTGGAACTCTGGAGGGGCGTTCTTGTTCACGCTCTCGGCCTTAACAGTGAAGGATGTTGGCTCGAGGCAGAGCTTCTTGACGTTGTACTTGCCGGCCTTGAAGGCGAAGGAGTCGACGCCACCATCGATGGTCGGGCATTGGTTCGCTGTTCCGGTTCCCTTGACCTCCAAGTATGTCTTGCTCTGGATCTCGTCGTAGGTCAGGCGCTTTGGAACTCCCTCTGCGCTCGCTCCCTGAGGAACAGTAGCGATAATATAGAATGAAGTTGGTTTATTTCTTATAACAAATAGAAGGAAGGTTCAACAATAGTGAATTGCTTTGTGTGAATGACGAAGAGACATTTCCTATACAGTTTTAAACAATTTATTTTGCGTAACAATTACTTTGAAAATATGTGACAATCACATTTATCATCTTTTTAAAGCTATTGTTATATAGACTAGATTTTAATTTTTACATCTTATATTTGTGTAAAATGTTATGTTGCACCTAAAGTTTAAGGTATTATATATATATATATATATATATATAAGACGGATCTTGTCTAGAAAAGCCTAGATCTTATGAGTAGTAATCGAATACTAGATACGCCCTAAGTTACACACTGCAATATTTCACAAATCCATTTTACCTTTCCCAGATCATCCAAAAAATTCATTAGGCTAAGTAATTACTCGCCAATTATGCACTAATTCTCAGTAGTTACTTACTAATTAAAATTAAGCTTCAATTCTAAATGACCCACAAAACCCAGTGAACATATGAAATTTACTCTAAGAAAGAAAGATCTGATCCAAATCAGATTTTCGGGTGCGATCATTTACTTTCTCTAAGCTAGCCTTCCAAATTTCCAATCCCATAAACAAAATCATAAAAAAAAAAGGTGCAGTTTGGCTATGTAACGTGTGCATATTATAACTAAAATTCGATGCAAATTCTTCAGACAAAACATGACCAGACACAGATTAATCATTTTGTCTTTTTTTTGTCTGTTTTTTTTTGTCAAATCTTCCTAGCTAATTTTGTTGACATAATTTCACAAATAGCAATTGAAAGCCTAGAGAGACATATATACCGAGACAACAAGGGCAGAAGTTGCAAGAGCAAATCCTGCAATCTTGGTGGCATCAACGCACTTCTGAGCCAAGTCCTTGAAGTCAGATTGGAGAGAGCAAGTAAGCCGAGCACCGGCGGGCTCTACGCCGAAGGCCTTGGAAACCGCCTGCGCGGACCTCAGCTGCAGGCTGCCGCCGCCCCCCCGGGCCGGCATGCCCACCTTGGTTGTTAGAGTGGCTGCTGTTTGTAGTGAGGCTGCCATATTGGTTGTGATGAGCAAAGAAAGACTCGTATATTTGGAACAAGTTTGTGTGGGGGAGTGAGAGTGGATAGTATAGGTCACAATTATTTGGTGGCTTTGCTGTGACTTAGATAACGGATAGGATAAGGTCTCCTCTCATTGGCTCGTTTGGGCTAATGCCTCTGGCTTCTGTGCTTGCCACGTGGCGAGTTTCATGTTTGGGATAAAGATACTAGTGTTTCAGAGGTTTGGCCTAGATTCTATGTCCTCCTCAACAAATGCACCGCATAACCTATGAGTGGCTCTAAATCAATGTAAATTTATTTATTTAGAGGACGTTTATTTTATAGATTTAGAACTATGATTCAGAATTATTCTCAATTTACGTGTGTTTTTTATGAAAAAAAATATTGTATTAAGTCACGAACTATGATCCGAACGATGATACGAATCTTTACTTCAAACGCACCCTTAGTTTAAATAATGATTCAGCTCAATTGTTCAAACTTGAATGATATCAAAGTTTTTGAGCTCGCCCGACTACTAATCAAGTACTCAAACAAATGGAAAATGTTCTTAACAATGAGATCCATAATAAGAACAACTATTACTATTTCAGGCAAAACAAAAAGAAAAAATGGATTTGGGTGTATAATTTGTTCGATCAATCATAAACCTCCTAATTTTTTTTTTCTATGTCCTTTGCATGAAAGCTTCCTTTCGGTTACAATTATCCCACATTGACATTGGAACGCCCATGTGCCTCAGCATAAATATGGAGTTTAGAGAAATACTCTTTTAGAGGCTTGGATTTCAAACATATAGCTTTTGTGAAATAACATATTTTCACACGTGTTTAAGCAATTAACATATTTGAATTGTTTTGCAAAAATTAACAAATTCCGCTTTTTATTGAAATAAGAAAATTTAGAATATCTGAAATGCTTCATCTTTCTCTTTTCTTAACATTTCTTTATTCCCCAGTATCTCTTTCTGTCCTCCCCATTTCTCTATCTTCTCTCGACTCCCTATCTCTCTGGGTAGCAAGGTATGACCCATGGGTGTCGGTGCCGAGTGTGGTGGTGGGGATTTGGGTTAGGGTTAGTGGCCAATTTGTGGATTTAGGGATTTGAGGTCCAACAGTAAGACCAAGTCATTTGTAGAATTGTTTGTAACTCATGTTCAACAAAAAAAAAAAAATATATATATATATATATATAACATAAGTGATATCAAAATTATAGCCAATAAATATAATATTTTACTTATTTAGCAAAAAAAATCATATTTTACTTGGTATATATTAGATTTACCAAATAAATCAATAATATAAAATAAAAAAGAAGGATTTATGGCATTCGGGTTTTATCAGTAAATTTGACGGTGAGAGAGATTATGTGAATTTAGTGGTAAATTATGAATTTATGCTAGAGATCGGATTCACTGATAAATTCATAATTTACAAGTCACCAGTGCGGGTGACTGAATTTTCACATAAATCTAAAACTCACTTGTCAATGCTGATAACAATGGATCTAAGTAGAGAAAGGAATGAGAGAGAGTAAGATACGAGAAATAATTAGGGTATTTCGTTTATCAATAGTGTTGTGGACCTAATTTATTAAATTATGCAATTTACTATCTTTTTATAATATTATACTATCATTACTAATCACCATCCTAAATATATCATTTGCCCTATTCTCTTAAAAAAAATGTGTCTAATCTTTTATCATAGTGGTACAAATAATAAGTTGACTCGAAAAGCGATGTATTAGGGAAAACATATTGACATAAAAAAAGAAGAACTATTCAGTGGATCGGATGTACTACATTATTTTGCTTATATGGTACACGCGCTCAATGAAAGTAACCCATTTAGACTTTTTTTATGTTAGTTTTTTACATTTATTTTTCTTTTTCTTAATACGTATTGTATTGATTATTGAGTCAAAAACACCATTATTATTCTACTCAATTCTCTTATTTTAATCAATTAACTTTAAATAATTACTTTTATTATTCAATTTTCTTTGCTCTGTAAACGTGCCTTCCTAAGTTGCTGGCTTTTTCTCTTGACTTAAAATACTGACGAAAGTATATGCTGATCATTTTTTTTTTAACTTAAGTTGCTAACTTTTTATTATTATTTTTTTAATAATAGTACTACTTTTTATACGTTCTTTATTTTGAGTTAAATATATTCATGTACATTTGAGCACATAATGGAAAGAAACAGTAATCCAAATGGGAACGAACCATGAAACTCTATTTAACTCAAAAATTGAGTTTGACAAATACTAAAATAAGCAATATAATATTAAAAAGAGAGAAAGAGAGAAATAGGTCAAGACTTGAGATGAATTAAAATTAATAGGCCAATAGTTTACATAAATTAATAAATAGGTCAAATTATTATTTTTGTCCATAACTTATCTAGTTATGAACCATAACTTGACAAGTTATTATCCATAATTCACGGTTTTTATCCATAACTTGTCTGGCTATAAACCATAACTTGACAAGTTTGTCCATAACTTATCTGGTTATGAACCATAACTTGACAAGTTATGGCCTATTAATTTCTATAACTAAAAATTGGCCTATATACTTTCTTAAGCTTTTCATATTGGCCTATTTTCTATTATTTTCGTATTAAAAATGTTTTAATGTACTTTGGGTCTCAATATCCTCAATATTAGATAAATTATCACTCTAACTTTCTCTATTGATGAATTCAATCTCATCTGTAGGACGCCATATAAAAGAAATAAAAAAATTAAGACCTTCTTAACAAAACTTTGAATAGATATCAATACCTTTTCCAATTTCCATTTTGATAGGTGTTGATCATTGATCTCTTTGTTGTCTTGCCTTCATTTTCAATGGGAAAATTGAAAGATATCAGCCCCTATTGTGCAGATGCATGATAGAAAGCAAATTTTTTTCCTTTGCTGATGGATTAGCAAGGGACTCTTGGAGAGAAAACTGAATAATTGTATTTTAGAAATAAAATTGATTATTTTAAGTTAATTAATTAAAATAAGAGAACTAGGTAGAATAATAATAGTTCTTTTAACTCAACAATTAATGTAATAGCCATTAGAAAAGAGAAGAATGTGTAAAACCTGACATAAATAAAACGTTTATTTATTGGGCAAAGTCTAATTGGCTGCATCTTTTCGATTTTGAACTTTAGACAAAGCCCACTTTAATTACGAGCAATTTGCTGCATCTTTTCGATTTTGAACTTTAGGCAAAGCCCACTTTAATTACGAGCAAGCCTAAAAAAAAAAAAGTATGATCATATATGCATTAAAACAAATCTGTTTACAGTTTTTTTTTTTTTTTAATCTGCTTTTGCATTATTATAAAGAGAAGTTTTGAACTATAAGTTGTTTGGATTCACTTAAAAAAATTTCTTTAGCTTATTTTAGTCTCAAAGATACATTTGAACCTATTTAGATGGACATTGTCAAAGTATTTATCGCTTTTTAAGGTCTTTTTAAACAAGTCATCTCTTTTGTGCTTATAAAAAAAGTGATTATAAAAAGCTTTTTATTCACTTTTTAACTTCTTATTTGTGAACAACAAATTAAAAATTCCACTCACATTCTTGTATTACATTACTTTTAGTAACAACTAATTTTGTAAAGTGCTTTGCACGTATTGCCGTATTAAAAACACCTGAAAATTTATTATTTACCGAATAATGAGAAATTTATTTATACAGACATTTAAGGATTTTGAATTTATTCTAAAAGAAATATGTGTAAAAATAACAATTGACAAGAGTAAAGTGAGAAACAATATATTTTTTAAAAAAACACACACAAAAATTAAAATGTAAAAAAAAAAATAAAAAAAAGGAAAATTTCATTTTGGTACCCTCTGTTTTTAAAACTTCATACTGGTACCTCGACCTTTTAGAAAAAAAAATTTTCTTTACCTCGATGCCATTTTTTCAAACACAAAAAGACAAAATTGCGCTTATTGAAGAAAGAAGCAAATGAAAAAAAAACACAAATGAAAAATAAAATTTAAACATCAGAAGTTTGAAGAAAGAAGCATGTTCTTTTAATGGGTTTTGGGTGTTTTGTCATATGTATAACAATTTTTGAAATTCTTTTTTTTTTCTTTCAAAATTCTGGACAGGCGAATTTTTATAATAAGGGTAATTTTATCTTTTTGTATCTCAAAAAATAGCTCTGAGGTACCAAAAAAAGATTTTCTAAAAGGTCTTTATATCGGCATGAAATTTTAAAAAAAAAAAAGAGGGTACTAAACTCAAATTTCATTATAACAGAGGGTACCAAAATGAAATTTAAAAAAAAAAAAAAAGAGATAATTGGCAACCCCATGGAAAAGAGTTTTGGCTCTTTATGTATTGTTAGATAAGTGCTTTTGATTAATTTGCTCAAACAAGTTTATTCATCCGACAATAAAAAAGATAACATTGAGACAGTTATAAATTCCATTATTGAGTTTCCCTTACTTGATCGAACAACCAAAAATTCATTCATTTCAATTGCATCAAGTGATCTTTCAAATTGGTCAAGACTCTCCAGTTTATGGCCGCTTCTCTATGGTACTAGTTGTTGCTTTATTGATTTACTTTATTAATAGACTCACGATTCAACCATCATTCAACACTAATTAAAAAGTCTAGACACGTGTTTTTCCTCTTCTATTGCTTAATGACATGTGTACTTGTTAGTTAGGATTTGAAAATGAGAGTTAGTAATTGAAGTCAATTTCATGTTTACTTATTTTTTTAATCCTGCAATGTGAGTGAGATTAATAAACCCCATTCAAATTTAAAATTAAGAATTGGGATTGGCAACCCATGTCCTTGCTTCAAATTGGACTCCCAATCTTGATAATAATATTAAATTACTATCTTACCTCTAATTTACTTATAAATATATAATTAGAAATAAAATACAAAATTAATAATCACAACCTTTGTTATTTTGTTTTATAATATACAATTACCCTAATTATTGTTATTTTTTTTTATTAAAAGTAATGATATATTTTATTTTTTTAACACTTTATATTTTACTTTTATTTATTTTATGAAACATTTGTTTATATTTTAAATAATTGAGCAATTTACATTTATTATTTTGTTATCTAATATTATAATAAATATCTTATGATTAATATTAATAGTAAGTTCATAATTTGTTTGTTGAATTAAAGATATAAATTTAATTTAAGGGGTATATTAGTACTTAAACAACAATTAATTCTGATTTTAGGTATAAATAAACGTATAAATGGGATTCAGAATGACTCTGATTTTAGATCTTATAACCAAGTAAACAACTTATTTTAATTCCGATTTCTCGCTTCAAAACTTACAAACTTTAACCCACTTAAATTACGCATAAGTAAAGATACCATAAAAGTAAAACCAGTAAGCTCTATCAAACGGACTTGTTCTTTGGTGAGCTAATGGCAATAAACAACCACTATTTAGTAGTCTAAAAAGGGGGTGCCAAGTGTTCAAGCACACAACAAATTGGCAACCAATTCCTTGAAAACAACATTTTTGATGTAAAATCTTTTATAATTTGGGGGTTTCTTTGGTAGAATTTGGGAAAAAATGAATTACTCGTAGTATGCTTGAACTATATATATTAGAAACTATATGTTATGCATTCTTTTTCAACCTAATATGATTTTGACCCGATCTAACAATAAAAAACTTACCCTATCAATAAACTAGTCTACCGAAAAAAGTCCCTATAACTTTTACAGGATCGTATAACTAAGTTTTTAACTAGAAAATGCTGGATGACATTGGGTGCGTTTGAAATTGGTTTCAAAATGATTTTATTTTCAATAAAAAGTAAAAATGAGATTGTTTTTAGAATCATTCTAAAAACAATTATGAAATTGTGTTTGATCGATTTTTTAAAAGATTGTTTTGAGTATAATAAAATAGTAAAATCATGTTTGATTATAATTATTAATTAATATATTATAATATTATTGATAAGTATTAGAAAATGAAAACAGAAAAGTGAAAATAACTTTCAACTATTTTCTAAATTCTTTTATAAAAACTATTCTCACTATTTTCGTTTTCGTTTTCAAAATATTTTCTAAACAAACGCTGTTTTGTTTTCAATTTTATTTTTTTCTCTTTGAAAAACGTAAAAAACCTTTTAGAAGGAAAACCAAACGCACCCATAAGTTCACTCGTCCAAAAACATATGTACGCTACTTTCTTAATTCAAGTGAATGGCCGATTTCTTTTGAAAGTTGCTCAATATGAGGCTTTGGGTAAAACTTGGTTGGAATTTGGAAGACAAAGATAATAACCTAGGGTTTGTCGTTCGTCTATATCTATTACAATTCTCTAAAGGTGTGTTTGGTTGAGTGAAAAGGAATGAAACAGAATCGAATGGAATTCTAATTTAATGTTTTGTTAGATTCATAAGAAAGGAATGACCATTCACCCATTTTGAGTTAATCATCATTCATTTCTCATATGAGAGGAATGGTCATTCTAAATTTTATTTTTTATTTTTTTTCATAATTACCCTTCAATATTATAATATAATTAAAATATATTATATAGTAGTTATATTTTATAATATGATATAATATATAATAAAAAATGTTATAATATAATACAGTTATAATAATATAATAATTAATTTATAATATAGTTATAAATTATAATACATTGATTTAATATTATATAATAATATATAATATATTGTAACGTAATTATATCTTATAATATAATATATAATAATATTACAATATAATATATATAATATGATATAATATAATATAATTCTAATATTTTAACTAATTATATTAACAATTTTAATAATATTGTTATATTATATATCATAATTATATGATATATTATATAATAATAATTTTATTATATTATATTTTATTGTATATATTATATTAATAAATAAAATATTAGTGTTATATATAATATAAGAGTAAATTTATCAACGTGAAAATATTTATATTCTATTCTAAAAAATTCTTAAAATTACAACCAATGGAATAAGGTGAATAGAAGTGTACACGTCTTTTTGGGTCTATTAACTAGAAAAGACGGCCACTTAATAACTAACTCTAGAAAACAATGGTCATGTACTTATAAAATTCCTTAAAACAGGCCATTTTTACTTAAATCCCTAATATTAGAAGTTTGTAAAAAACAACTCGTTTGCAAGGGCTTACTACGGTCTTTCACATTTTTTTGTTGCTTGTCAAAAAAAATAATATAAGTCTTCTTAAATGTTGGTGTCGATGGGTCACCTATAAGATGGTAGCCCTTGCCCCGTTAGTAACATTGTTCAAAATAGCGTCCCTTTTAGAGGAAAAAAATTATACGCATAACTCATTTCAAAAAAAAAAAAAAAAATTATACGCATAAATGAAAACTAAGATTATATTTTCAAAGAAAAAAAATACATGAGATGGATTACGCATTTCAATTATATAATATGCTGTCGTTTATATCCTTTTTTAAGTGAATGTTCTCGCTCATTCCCAACTCCACATCAATTATATTGCCATTGGCACATGACGTTAGTATTCATTTTCGTTAAGTCGTAAACATTGATACTGTACTGTAACGACGCATCAATTATTGACGTTGGCAGAAAATGTCGTCGTTCTTTCTATGAAAACACTACAAACCACAAAAAGACGGAATTCTCAAACCAAAATAAAAATATTTTTTTCCAAGGAACAAAACTTTTTTTAAAAAAAATTTGGTCTTCACCAAAATTTTAATAAAGAAGACAAACAAAAAGAAGACAGTATAATTAAGAAGGGGATGTTGAGAGATTTAGGAGGAACAGCTCAAAAGTGCTTGAAACTGAATCATCGATGCTCCTCAGAGGATAGTTTAAACTCTTTTCTCATCATCGCCACACCATCCTTCATTCTCTCAATTTTTTCCCAACAAAAATATAATAAAACAATCCAAAAAGACCAATAAAAATCGAAAAAAAAAACCAAAACTTATACAAATAAAAATTTAATCTTTAAAACTTAAACGAAACAAAATTTTACAAAAAAATGTAAAAATAATAATGTAAAAAAAGAAATAATCAGGCATTCAGCATGAGTAGGAGGTTGAATATTCATCAATTGATGCATCAGAGAGAACATATCATCACCATGCCAGACTTTAATCTCAATAAAAAAACAAAATAAAACGAATTAAAGAAATTACAAAAAAAATAGTAAAGAAAATTGGATATGAGAATGAGGAGGTAACCTCTCAGACAAATGCCTCGAATTGTCGTCAGGGTTTAAGAGAATGGATTTATATCAGACTCGTCATCGTTGTTGATCATCACCGAGAAAACCCCCTCATTCATAATCCCAAAATCAATCATTGCGAAAACATTTACAGAAAAAAATATTCAGAATTAAGAAAGAACAAAAGAGAGAAAACGAAAATAAGGAGAAAAGTTTTTGTGCATATGAGAAAGTTACTTGCGGATCTTGTAATCGGCTCAAGAGTTTGGAGGAGTTCGAATGGAAGTGATGTCCCGTTGGGTCTTTTTTATAGAGGTCTCCAGAAGCTCTTTGAGTTAGTATTAGGGTTTCGCTTTGTTGAAGGTGCTTGCGAATTACCAAATATGCCCTCTCTAATTCTCGTGAACATATTCGTGGGCCTAATGCATTCTAGACATGGGTTAAAACCAATGGAGGCCCAAATTTGGGCCCACAATTGTTTTGTACTTGGGCTCTTTACACATGTGGCAAAGAGAAAATTACAAAAAACTTACCCTTAAATACATCCTTACGGAGTTCTACTTTTTTATTATGATAGACTACTCTTTTGATAATAATTTATTAAATTTTAAATAATAATTTGTTAAATTACACTCACTATCAGCGATCAGAGACCCACCACCGGCGACATCTGTCAAATTATCGATAATAATCTATCAAATTACTTACTCTAAAATGACAAAATTCAATAGGACAATGACCCAAAAATTCTTAATAGTATCATTTTAAGGGGTATTTATCAAATTTATCCTATAACAAATGAGTAATTTTCTCTGTATTGATTGAATGAAAATTCTTTATTTTTAAGGATAGTGGTATAAATAATATTTTTTTCCCACCTTGAGTGGCATTATTGGTTTTTCTCTAGAAAATAAATGGTAAAGTTTAAATATAGCAAAATTTTTAAAAGATCACAAGAACATTAAAATATTGTTAAATAGCATAACATTTGATATTTTTATGGTAATTACAATATATATATATATATATATTCTATTTTTGTATTATTTTAAAAATTTTACTAATTTTCAAAGATTTTACATGTAATGTAATTATCTCCGCACTTATACATTTTTCTCTTGTTGGAAAATAAACTTACAAAAAAGTGATATAATTATACAAGAAAATATTGAAGTACTTAGGCTGAGAAGAAATATTCGATTTGGTAAATTTCATAGGATATATATGCACAAAATGACTTTCAGTAAAGCATATCGATAATACATGTCAGAATTTAAAATAATAATTATGTAATTAAAAATTGATAAATTAGAGTTACATTAGTAATTGAATAATTAATTAATCAATAATTTATCACAATTAGAAAAAAAAAAAAAAAAAACTCAACCTAAACTCACTCAAATAATAATCCGGTTGGGTGAGTTGGGTTGATCTCTTGATCGGGTTTAGGTTATAATGGGTTAGGTGTTTTAATTAAGTTCGTTGGGTTGTTGGGTTTTTGTTCACCCCTATTAAAGAGTCAGCATCGATCTTAAAAAGAAAAGAGATGGAAAGTAGAGAGGTTTTGAAAGTAGGATGGGCAGAGTTCTTGGACCCCTCCTAGGCGCGTTAAGCTCTCTAACCTAAAATTTGGTCTTCAAGCTTGCCAAATAGTGGGCTTTCACTTAGTAGAGTGGTGTATAGGGTAGAGGATTTGTTGGTGTGGATTGAATTTAAAGGTGGTGTAAAGGTTAGCAGCCGTTGGTTTGGACCACTATTTTTGGCACATTGACTGACAATCGAAGTCGTATAAGGGCTCGATCTATGTGACAGTGATATTGTGATGGTGCAATCTTCTTGCAATGATGGCGGTGGCGTGTGGGGCTTGCACGCTGCTGTTGGGTGACACTTCGATTATACTGTATGTCTCTCAAGTTCTACTAATTAGTAATTTCTCTAATGGTTCTTTCACCGTTACCTGATTAGTAATTTCTCTAATGGTTCTTTCACTGTTTGTTTAATCATTGGAGGTCTTGTAATTGATGCTTGAGATTTTTCTTGTTTTTTTCGTTGTATAACAACTTGCAATGTTTTAGCCTAATTTAGTGGTGTGTTTGTGTGCTTTCTAATGTTAGGTAGTGTTTTAGACTCCATTCATTTCACCGATTCGAGTTTAGAATTCGAGTTTTGCTACAGTAAAAAGCTCTCATAAACAGTCACATCTAATTGTTTTTACTACAGTAAAAAGCTCTCACATAAAGTCACATCTTAACTCAAATTAAAAACTCGAATCAACGAACTAAACAGACCCTTAGTCTACTAAATTTGTTTCTTAGTAGCATTTTATGTAACATCCCGCTTTATATTTCAATAAATAAAGAACTTTTATAATGAAGAAATAACAATAAAGTACAATACAAAAGTTAATCTTGATGTTCCCGTACAACTCGATATTTTCGTACATGTCGATCCCATACTCTAGCGTCGTAGTGAGACATAATTATAACTATAAGTAAGAAGATAATAATAGCTAACATAATAAAGTTTATAGCTATTAAGAAACTAGCATCATAAAAATTAAGAAGAATGAGATTGTTGAGGAACATTTTAAAGAGTAAAATTTGTGGGTGAACATGAATGATAGAAAACTCAATTATTTATAAGGTAGAAACTAGCTGTTTTTGATCGTTGGAATAGTGATTGGGTGATTTTGCCCTTAACTGTTATGAATAGTATTCTGACCGTTGGAATAACCGTTAGGATCAGTGATATGACGATTTTTGCCCTTATTATTTGTGAGGAATAATTTCCTAACTGTTTGAAGAAAATAACTATCAGAATAATATTTTGACGATTTTACACCTGGTTAATATTTTGAGGAAAATATAATTAGAGATATCAATCGATATTCAAAATTATAGAGATTTATGGAGAAAATCATAAAGAATAATAATAAAGTTAGAATTCAATTTTGATAGCCCGAGGTACTAGTTTTAAGAAAAGGACATTTTAGGAATAAATAATTATGGGTTGAGATGACTTGATTAAATTTGATAAAAAATATACTACCCTCAAGTGCAAATCAAGAATTATGATGAAAAAATCAGAAGTAAAAAAGGATGAATATAAGTGGTAAAAGTTTCATTATCGAGCCCAAATAGTAGCAAATCAATAAATAGTGCCCAACCCAAATAAAAAAAAGAAAAAAAGAATTAGAAGAGAGTATAGCAAGAAGAAGAAGATTATGTATCAATTATTATAGAAATATAATATTTTAATCAAAGGTTACTATTCATAAATAATATTTTATTACGCCTAGTAACTGCATAGTACTCCTGAGTTTTTCTATAAACAGGCCTTCAGAATTTATGGACTTGAAAATGAAGTAAAAATGGAATAGCAGTACTTATGTTTAGTTATTATGTTAGTATTATTAAGCTATTTTCATTACTGATATTGTATTGCGATTGTTATTGTATTAGTTAGGAGTATATTTTCCTACGGGAAGTTGAGACAAAGTAAGTAAAGTTCTCACCTACAATACAAGTTAAAATATATTGAAAATTATTTTCAGCACGTTTATACTTGTTATATTATGGTTATACCTTCTCATACAGTATCTTTACATTTGCTATGTTGAAGCATTACATTCACTTTAAAGTTGAAAGATAATAGGAGATGTTGCCTAAGTAATTATTTAGAAATTATTTCAATGCCAGGTGCCTTCATAGGAGGGCAATGCTCAACAAAAATTATTAAGCAATAGTTGACAATCAAAGAAGTTAAAGTTTACTCAGATAGTATTCTCCAGGGCCCTAAGATGAACAAAAATAATGAAGCAAAGTATGAGCATAAATGAGTTTTAACTTTCATGTGAGACAATGACTTTGCTTACTGAGTGTTAGCTTATCAGTTCATTTATACTTGTGTTGTAGGTAAGGGAAAAAGTACGTTGAATTAAACTGGAGAATGTGCAAGGTGCCAAACTGACGTGTTAGTACATATGGAATCGACATGCTGGGAGAAAAGTTTAAAAGGAGGCACCATTAAATTTTAAATAAATATGAGTGTGTATTTAAGACTTTATTGTTTGAAATTTTATGAAGTATGTTATGTAACAAATGTTGTCCCGAATAAGGCTACCTAAGAGGGGGGTGAATTGGGTTTTGAATATTTTTCGAGAGTTTATACGATTATTCGAAGATTAAAACTAAATATAGACAATTAATTGAACAAGGTACTTTTATCAAACACTTGGTGTACAGAAAATTATGTAAGTTAATGCAATAGCACAACCACTTGATGTACACAGGATGGACCAATCTAATATCATAAAAAGAGTTCAATAAACTTATCACGACGAGTTAAACCAATCAATGTCAGCAATCAAATTTAAAGTGCGGAAATTAAAGAGATGGAGTTAGAGAGATGCAAACGAGATTTATAGTGGTTCAACAAATAAATTTGCCTACATCCACTGTCGCTGAGATATTCTGCCTCTCGACCTCTTTCACTATTCAATCGACTTTCCGGCATGATCACTCCTCTTACAAGAAGGCGAATCTTTCTACCCGAGGCTTCGCCTAACCTCTTACACAATGTCGATTTTCCACGGAGATCGACCAACCAAGTAACTCAATACCAAAGTAATGATTATGAGTAGTGAAGCACTTAGTTTTACTCTCCTAACAATGGTTTTACACAATTAAAATCACTAGGAGATGATGAACTCACACTATCACAAGATAATTCAAGGTAGGCTCAATTGTGTGTGAGAGAGTTAAGGATTTAGAGAAGATGATGATTATGTAAACACAATGGAGAACTCTCTTTTTAATTTTTGAAGCTATGAATTCGTTCTCTGTTTTTAGCAAAATCCACTATTGAGAAAAATGACTTTTCTCTATTTAACCTCTCTTGCCAACGGTCATATTTTTGCCTGTTTACCCAGTACTGGTCGACCGGAGCGGTTGACCGGTTGAGACAAATTTGAATTCGTGCTGTTCAACATTCTTATTGAGTGTCTGGTGAACAGAACCGGTCGACCGGAGCGGTTAACCGGTTGAGGCATCACCGGTCGACTGGTGCATTTAGCCTTCTCTGTCACCGGACGACGTAGGTCAACCGATTGACACTTAATTTGCCTCAAATCTTCACACATTTGTACTTTTAGGCCAAATGTCATTATGCACTAAGTTTAGTCTCATTTTTAAAGAATAATGTGAGTGTGTGCATGAGCCTAAACAAGAATTAATCATGATAGTATGAAGTCAAAATCAAATACAAGACTAATGAGATATTAAAAACCTATTAGTACTTGTCCAGCTTGATTTTGTTTGCTTGCTCTTGATCTTTGGTATTTTAGCACTTCAAGCCTTGAATTCCTTCTTCAATTTGCATTTGTCAATCTTGAATGTATTTGCATTGTATTCCGCAAAATGCTTCTTGAGTTGATTTATAACATTAATTACGCTAAATACACAACTCAAAATAGAATCATTAGAAACATAATACATTGTGTTTGTGATCATCAAAACATGAGAATATTCAACCTTGGGCCAACAACAAAAGTTTAAATTTGTTCCGATTTTTGTGTTGTTATCAACTATTGCAATATATTTGGATATTCGTTTCTTTATAATAGTTATATTTTAAAAAGGGATGTTACATTTTATGTGGCTCTAGTGCTATAGGTCTCTTAATTTCGGTGAATCAATTTTTTTTTTTAAATTCTGATCAATTAGATTATTCTATCGATTGTACTATTTTTTTTTAGTGCAATGAGTGTGCTTAATAGTTGGGGTACTTATTTGGGAGTCTGTTTCAAAATTTGGTACACATTTATTTCACTTTGAGTGTTCCATTCGAGTTTATTAGTGGAACCAATTGGTTATTGTGTTGTGGTTTGCTTGTAGTTTGAAACTAGTTGAAAACGCGCGCATACGAACGTGAGATTCTATAGGTAAGAATGAAAAACATATTTATTAGAGTCTCATTTTGGAGAGAGAAAAAAAATGAAAAAGTATAAAGAAAAAAGATAAGAATAAAAGGGGGGAATATAAAAAAAAAAAAGTAAAACAGTGCAAGTGCAATTTGCATTAAACTGATGATTTCACTTAAGCCTCAAATTTGGTTAGTAACGGAAGAGAGTTCAAAAAAAAAAAAAAGAGATAGGAATATGTATAAGAAGAAATAATTTAACAGACATACTTATGATGGTCAATTTGAGAAAAAAATGTAACGTGAGAAAAAAAAAAGATAAGAATGAAGAAGGGGAGACCAAAAAAATAAAATAAAATAAGATAAAAGGAAAAAGGGAGGAAAGTAAAAAAAAAAAGTAGAAAGTTAAAAAAAATAAAAAAGAAACCGCTAACTAAACGTTTCGTTAGTGGTCCCAAAAAAACCCATTTACTTGTAATAAATGTATGAGTGGAGATTAATTTATTAAAAAAAAAATTAAGCAAGACAAATCAAAAAGTAAAAAATAGTGAAATGACTTGGATTTAAAAATATATAAAATTTTAGGGAGAAAAGCAACCAAAAAAAAAATAGAAAAGTAAGAGAAACAATAATATAGGTCAAATTATAAATAAAGGAGGAAGGAAAAAAAAGAGAGAACGGAAACGTTTGCGAGCCGTTTCGTTGTCTTTCGTTGGCTCCGTTGATAAACGGATTCAAATTACCAAGTAAAGAATTATTGGTGTATATATTTAGAGAAATAGTAAAAAATAAGTCAATATGAAAAGCTTAAGAAAGTATATAGGCTAATTTTTAGTTATATAAATTAATATGCTATAACTTGTCAAGTTATGATTCATAACCAGATAAGTTATGGACAAACTTATTAAGTTATGGTTCATAGCCAAATAAGTTATGAACAATTATGGATAATAACTTGTCAAGTTATGGTTTATAACCAGACAAGTTATGGACGAAAACAATAATTTGACCTATTTATTAACTTATGTAAATTATTGGCCTATTAATTTTAATTCATCTCAAATCTTATCTTATTTCCCTCTTTCTCCCATATATTTATTCATTAGAAATATACTTTTCCTTTAAAAAAAAAAAAAAACTTACAGATATGTTGAATGCCCCATTAAATCTCAACCATCAGACGCTAAATCGACCATTAAACTGATAAGATTATTGCCATTGATCTAAATGTGAAAGGCTCTACATTTTAATTTAATGGTTAATTTCTATTCTTATTTTCTTCAAGAAGGTACGCTTTCTTTATGAGCGATTTTGTGTTCGATTTTTGGTTTTAAAAAGAAAAAGAGGGGGACAAAAAACACGCACACAAACACAAATTGCAAAAGGTAAGCTATAATCAGGGACTAAGGCGTCCTCATTAAAGGATGGTTTAAATGCATCGATTATTTTAGCTATTCTTAATCCATTGCTTTTATTAACAAGAATTCTTCACGTTCAGGTTATAAAGAACAGAAAAAAGACTTACGGCTGACAACATAACAGATTTTGCCATTTGGAGGATACATTTTGAAAACATAACAGTTCCAGAAGCAGCCTACCATAACAAAGGCAAAACCCCCCTAGACAAAATGGAGGACCAGAGCCCAGACAGGGTAGACCAAGAGAAGAATAATGCCAACCGTGTTTGAAATTCCATTGCTTTCTGTGAAGGAGTTTCTGAAGCCACCAGACGCCCGGATGTGCTGTTGCAGAAGGTAGCAGCCGATGAGGAGACATATCACGACGCCAACCCAACTGTCCCTCAATGTGTGCGCGAAAAAGCTTGGAGCCACAACCAGAAGAAGAATCAAGGATCCCGGCATCTCCAACCAATCTGCAAGGATCCGAAAATGGCTATTAGCATAGTACCGTGACACTAATGACTATGATGAGAGAACTCCATTCTTCAATGCATGTGAATATTTATATACTTTAGCATTCATTATAGGATATATATATATATATATATATATATATGAGTAACTACATAAAACGTCTAAAAATGTCTACTATTGTATAATATCACGAGAATACCTATTAGAGATTTATAACGCATATATGATACCGAATATGCCCTTATAGTTTATATTAGGCCTGTTCCTTATATTGATACTGTCTTTTATTACATCAGTTCTCTCTCCTTTCTGTAAGAATAATAAAAGAAAACGACACTCAGAAAGAAAGTGTTCTACATCTCACAGAAGTCGTTTGTTGGAGAAACGAGTAGTAAACCGCCTTAAGTAAATTTAGGCGTGTAATATAAGCTTTTAGCAATATTAGTTGATATATATATATATATATATATATCCCTTTGGCCTTAGATCAGAGAACTCCAAATTATTTTCTGTGTTCAAGAGAGAGATTTGTAGAGAGAAACTCCTGGTTTTGTGGTGAGAGAGAAATCTAGAGCATTTGAGAACGGGAGAATATGGGGAAACTAGAGTTTGTTCTCCACTGGGTATTCTTCTTGTTTGGGGTTGGCTTATTTCTTCTCTGAGTGTGGGTTATCTCTGTAATTGGGAAATCTCTGTAATTGTGAGGATTGAGGGTGTAATCACTTTCTTTGATTTAGTGGAAAGAGTTTGTCTGCGGACGAGCTCAACGGGGACGTAGGGAGAGATCCCGAACCTCGGTGAAACAAACATCTGTGCATTTGATTTCTGTTGTGTTCATTGATTTCGTGGGTCTGTGTTGGAATCGCTCCAACAGTGGTATTAGAGCTGAGGGTTTTCTCGTCGGAAATTCAAGAAGATTGAAGACTCAATTGGAATCTTGATTCATCTTGATCAAGATCTTGGAGAAATCAAAGAACATGGGTACCGCAAAATTCGAACTGGAAAAGTTCGATGGCTCTGGGGATTTTGGTTTATGGCATAAGAAATTGAGAGCCATCTTAGTTCCACAAAAGGTGGCCAAGGCTCTCAGAGACATGAAGGATGTTCAAGGCACTAATGTTGAAAAGGCCGATATGCAAGAAATTGCATATTCGACGATTATTCTCTATCTCTCGAACAACGTACTTCAGCAAGTCAGTGAAGAAGATACGGCTGTGAAGGTATGGCTTAAACTTGAACAATTGTATATGACTAGGTCTCTGACAAATAAGATTTATCTCAAGGAGAGACTCTTCAGTTTTAAAATGGATCCGAATAAGGATTTATAAAAGAATCTTAATGAATTCAACAAGATAGTACTCAACTTAGCTAATATCGGTGAGAAAATTGAAGAGGAAAATCAAGCCGTGATATTGCTCATATCTCTTCTAGAATCTTTCAAGTAAAGAATGCAATAAAGTATGGCAGGTTAGTTTGACATTGGATGATGTGTTGTCGGCTTTGAGATCAAGAGAGTTAGAGAAAAAGCATGAATTGTCGGCTAGAGGTGATGAAGGCCTATTCTCTAGAGGAAGGCCGCAGAAAAGAGATCAAGGTAAGTCTAAAAATAGGCCTAACTCTAGATCTAAGTCAAAGTCTGGTCAAAGAAAGTGTTTATTCTGCAATAAACCAGGGCATATCCGAAGGTTCTGTAAAGAATGGAAAAAGAAATGTGCAGAACAACCTACTGAAGGGGCTAATGCGGCTTTGGCGTATCAAGAAGATGGATATGAAAGTTCAGGGATGCTTGCAGTAAGTGTCAGTCAGACTGAGGAAGAATGGATCCTAGATTCGAGCTGCACATACCATATGTGCCCTAGAAGAGAGTGGTTCTCCTCTTATGAGAAATTAAATGGAGGAAGAGTGTTAATGGGAAACAATTATACTTGTTCTGTTGCTGTCATAGGTTTGGTGACTTTGAAGCTTAGGAATGGAACAACTCATGTACTTCAAGATGTGAGGCACATCCCTGAACTTAGAAGAAAATCTAATCTCGTTGGGAGCCTTAGACGACTTGGGCTATTGTTACAAGGCAGAAGGTGGAGTCTTGAAGGTGCTTAGGGGGCCAATGGTGGTTTTTAAGGGAGGAAAAAATCAAGGCTTGTATGTCTTGGAAGGACATACAGTCACTGGTACTGCAGCCTCGGTTGAAGATGAAAATCAAGCAGTGCTATGGCATCAAAGACTCAGCCATGTGAGTGAAAAAGGTTTACAAGAATTATGTAAACAGGGATTGTTAGGTAAAGGTCAAATTGGGCATCTATGTGTGCTAGGGAAGCAACATAGACTAAAGTTTGCTGCCTCATCTTATAGAGCCATGGATCCTTTTGACTATGTACCCGCTGATCTGCGGTGACTAGAAAGGACATCCACCTTTGCTGGTCACAGGTACTTTCTATTTATTGTAGATGATCACTCTAGGAAAGTATGGGTGCACTTGTTAAAAACAAAAGATGAGTGTTTTGAAAAATTTAAACAATGGAAGGTATTAGTAGAAAATCTCACTAACAAGAAGGTAAAGGCATTAAAAACTGATAATGGAATGGAATTTTGTCATGAAGTTTTCACTAAGTACTGTCAAGATAAAGGCATTCTAAGACATAGAACATTAAGGAAAAGCCCCCAACAAAATGGGATAGCAGAAAGAATGAACAGAACACTAATGGAAAGGGTTCGATGTATGCTCTTCAGTTCCGGTCTTAATAAACACTTTTGGGGGGAGGCTGTCACTACAGCTTGCTACTTAATTAATAGGTGTCCTTGTAAGCCTATTGGCTTAAAGATACCAGAGGAATGCTAGACTGGCAAACCTCTGAATCTGTCAAATTTGAGAGTGTTCGGATGTGCAGCTTATGCACACTCTTAAGTGTATTTTTTTGGTCTATCCAGAGGGTGTTAAAGGATATAGACTGTGTCTTAGAAATGGTTCACAATATAAAGTGATTATTAACAGGGCTGTTGTCTTTAATGAGTCTGATATGCCTTTCTTAAAATTAGAAAAAGATATTGCTTTCAGTTCTAATGGTGAAGGTAATGACGAAAAGCAAACTCAGGAATTGCAGCTTGAGGTGGAAGAACCACACAAACAACCTATTGACCCACCGCAAAGTCAAGTTCCAACTCAAGATCAGCCATCTTCCCAAGATGATCACACTGAAGAAACCGAAGTTCATGCACATGGAACAACCAGTACCTAATCAGGACCTAGGGCAATATCAATTAACCAGAGATAGGCCGAGGAGGATTATAAAGCCACCGATGAGATATGAAGGGGGTAACTTGATAGCTTTTGCTCTTAATACAACAGAAGAGGTTGAAGAACAAGAACCCTGAAGTTTCCTTGAAGCAATTTCTACTCCAAATGCTGAAAATTGGAAGAGAGCAATGGAAGAAGAAATGCAATCATTGGAAAAGAATAAAACATGGATCTTAGTCCCTAGACCTAAGAAGCAAAAGCCAGTGGATTGTAAGTGGATCTTTAAGATCAAGGAGGGCACTACACCTAAAGAACCTAAAAGATTCAAAGCGAGACTGGTTGCTAAAGGTTTTACACAAGTAGAAGGAGTTGATTACACAAAAATATTTTCCCCCGTTGTCAAGTATAAAACAATCAGGACCATTCTTGCAATAGTAGCTCATGAGGATTGGGAATTAGAACAGATGAACGTTAAGACTGCCTTCCTCCATGAACACTTAAAGGAAACTATTTACATGAATCAGCCACCAGGTTTTGAAGAGAAAGGTGATAAGCCACCGGTGTATTTCACTTACGTGAGGAGGAATAAAAGGCAAGGGCAAAAAGGGAATTCTATAGAGGGGCTGCCTAATGTAGAGGAATAGCGTGTAGGAATAACGGTTTTGGGGGGAAATAAGTGGGATATAAAGGAGTAGAAGTAGAGGATGGGATTAGAGAATTGTATTGAGAAGAAATTGGAGAGTTGAGGTCTCTCGAAAACCTCTGTGTGTGTGAAGAGTGTGCGGAAAGTCCTAATTGAATCTTTCCGATAGTTGATAATTCAATAACACTTGAGTAATTGCATCTTTACCTGTGATTTGCTGGTGATCTCGTATCAAATTGGTATCAGAGCACCGATCTTGCGTGAATTGGGATGGCCGCCAGGAAAATGGAGGAAAGACTCGGTACCGTGGAAGAGCAGCTGAGTGCTGTTTATGAGGGAATTTCGAAGGAAATGGAAGGAGTTAGAGGCGATTTGCAAAAGATTCCTGCGTTGGAGAAGAACGTGGCGTTAATTTTAGGGAAATTGGACTCGTTGATGCAGAATCATGGAGGGGAAAGTTCGGAGAATAGGGAGACTAGGGCGGAGAACGGAAATGGAGGCGGATCGGCGTACGAGCATCGAGAAGGCGAGTTCCGGTTGGGAGGTATGACCAGGCGGATTGAAATGCCAATTTTTGAAGGCACAAATCGAGACGGTTGGATTTTTCATGCCGAGCGATTCTTTACCCTAAATCGCATGGGAGAAAGGGAGAAATTGGAAGCAGCGGCAATCAGTTTGGACGGTGAGGCCCTGGCCTAGTTCCAGTGGACGGACAGGCGCCGACCAATTCGCGATTGGCCGGAATTCAAGAAATTGCTGCTCGACCGTTTCCGACCATCACAAGAGGGGTCGGATTGTGAGAAGTTCCTTGCTCTCCGGCAAGACGGAACAGTACGCGCGTATATTCGTGATTTCGAGATGCTGGCCGCTCCCTTGACGGAGATCCCGACGGCGATCCTTGAGGGTAACTTCATCAACGGACTCAAACCAGAGATTAGGGCGGAAATTCGCCTGCTTCAGCCGAGCGGGTTGAATCGAATTATTGAATTGGCTCAGAGGGTGGAAGATAGAAATTTGGCCTTGAAAGGAGCTAAAGGAACGACAACCGGTCCTTGGATGCGACAACAACCATACACCCAGCCTTTTCGAAGCCAATCAACGAGTGTCCTCAAGTCAGCCAT